TGCAGCGCTGATGTGTGGCGTTTTTTCAATAAACCCACACGGAACCAAATGTAGCCTTTGGCGTTTCACTGTGAAGTGTGAAAAGATTGTCTACACTAAATGAACACACACAAGAGTGTTGTTAGGGAAAGGGGGGGGGGGGGGTCTCCAGTGTTTTGTTTTTTTGTTTTTTTTTTGAGTTCCAAAAATAAGGGCCAAAAAATACTGATTCTTAAAACAAAAATATAAAATTATATTGTTGGTTGTTGTATAAAGCGTGAAGCCCGACCAAGAAATTTAGGTAAGATCTTTTTTATTTTTACTCAAAAAACTAATTTATTTATATTAAACGACCTCAAAACTCAAAAATATAAAATATCTCACTATGCCTTGAGAAGAGAGGAACAAAGAAAAATATGTATTATATCTTGGCCCCATTTTGTTTACAATAATAAAGGTATGGAATTGAAATCAAAATGGGTTATTTCGATTCCAACTGTTTGGTTGGGCAAAATCAGAATTCAATTCCCATTCCTGCTGGAATGGCATTCCCCGATTTGAGGGAATGTGCTTTCCTTGCACCACCTTTGGGAATGAAATTCCATTCCTACTGATTCCAAATGTCATTCTCATTCCTATCTGAACCAAGCATATTATGGGAATAGACCATTCTGATTCCGATTATGACTGTGAATCAGGATGACCCATTTTTTATTATATGACATATTATCAAGTCAAAAAATCCCCGCTCAAAAAAAGTTAGGCTTACTGTTTTGGGCTCGAGCCTAAGCTCACATGCTTAAAATATTGTCCAAACCTGACCAAGAACGGGCTATCCCAGCCCATTGGGCTACCTGACGAATGAATAGGTTATTTCAAAAGCATGCCCCTCCACCTGGAGTTAACTTAGGGGGTCTAAAAAAGCATGTTTTCCTTTGATATTTGATTATAAAGTATGCAATATTTGGATAGAGATTTCCATTAAAAATCTCCGTTGCTAAAAGGACATGATACCAAAAATGATTTGACCAATCAACACTCGACATAAATTTTAATAAATAGATACCATCTGATTGGTTACCACTTTTATGATATTCATTGAGTGGTTACAAGTTTTTCAGTTGTAATATCTTTTCAATATCATAGTTCAACCCTTAAATGGATATCATCTCATTTTTCTAAATTCTAATTTTAATGTTTAATGTTAAATCCATTTAAATGTGAGTTTATATGAATATGATCTAAGAGGGTATATATGAGATGTTGGTTTGTATACCCTATGTCAAATAGTAGCGCATATCAGATTCTAAATCTGGGTCTTTAGAATAAGTTTTATTTCTTTTCTGAAGGAAGCTGAAGATGTTTTCATTTTAGAGTTATTTTTTGTGAATTTTTTAAGAAAATTACGTTAATAATGTTTTTTTTTTGTGGATATAACATTTCTAAAAAATGATAAAAAAAAGGTTCTTAAATGTGCAGGCACAAATTGGCCCAACGCAAATTGTTGCACGACAAACTTATTTTTTAGTTGAGAAGAATATAAATACCAATATACAAAACCTTATATATATATATATATATATTTGCATTTATATCAGAGTTGTCAAGGTGACACCTAAAAGATTAAGTTCTTTTTATTGCTCGCCTTGCCCAAACAAACGCCAACCAGTTTTTATATTATACTTTACATTATTTTTTATATTTTTATACTTTGATCTCATGTTATTAAAATAGGCAGCAATACACATTAACATTCTTTTTTTATGCTTCATAAACCAACATGACTTTGTATGAAAATTCATGGTGAGACATTTTCTATGCATATGTGATATTCTTGAAGTGTGGCTGGATGCTATTCTTCTAGGGTGTGTACACGATTTATGTTTTCAGAAGATTCTACACTTTCGTATTTACTACTTAGAGACGAATCTCCTCTCACATAATATCTATCCACGTATAGGGAATATCTCGCATAGTACAGAGAAGATGTTCGCAATGTGTGATGGGATTCCCAAATTTTCATGGTGTGTGCAATGGTTTTGGTTATAGGGAATCATCCCCGCTCATATTTAAGGGGACACTTAGTCATCTCAGCTACTGGGTCAGTGACCACTGATGTACACCATCAATGCTTCAGAATCCATTAGATGCTGAGGGACTAAAATGGTATGGTCATGAGACGGAAGTAGGCATTTACTAAAATGGTAAAAACTTTATTGAACCCAAATATGCACCTTTAATGGAATAAGCCAATGCACTCCAAAACAACAAAGGCAGGAGTGACTCGGCCGATGGAATTACTAATTTTTATGTGCTTTCCCAGTGGTCCCAAATTCAATGTGGTGGAGATGATTCTAATTTCTGAAGCAATGTCTTACATATGGTGGTGAAATTAAATAGCTAGAAGACTATCAAAAGAAGAAAAACGAAAATGAGAAAAGTTAGAGTGAGAGCTTAGGGTCCGTTTGGTTTATAGTTAGATTCAGAATCAATATCTATTAAAAATCCGTTAGATCGGAATGGTTTATTCTTATAGTTTGTTTGGTTTAGATAGGGACCAAAATGGGAATTGAAATCCGTTAGAACGGGTTTTCATTAAAGGCCAAAGGAGAGGAGGGAATGGTCATTCCAAAGGGGTGTTCACGGTTTAGTTAATCGAATAGCGGGCTTATATTTGAAATCGAACAGATACTATCGATTTTTTGAAAACCGGTAATTGAAACCGAACTGAGGCCAATCGGTTAATCAGTTTGACCGGTTTGATTAACTATCAATTTTTTGGTTTTTTTATATTTATAATATATATTATAATAAAAACTATAAATACATATAAAATATTATATTTTAAATAATAAATAATATATTATATATTATAAATATGTATTTATATAAAATGCATATTTATTAATTTATAATACGTGGGTGATGTAAAATATATATATATATATATATATATATATATATATATATAATATACATAAATATACATATAGTATATAGAAATATATGTATACCAACTAGTTCGATTAACCGTCATTTTTTATATTGGTTAACGAAATCAAGTTGATAACTTCATTTTTTTAAGAATACCAAAATGAAATTAAACCGACCAACTTCATTGGTTCGGTTTTTCTTTCTCACCGCTAACCATTCTCTCAAATAGGGGAATGCCATTGCACTAGAAAAGAAAATGAGATTCTAAATCAACCCAACCAAACAATTGGAATCAAAATGATCCATTCCCATTCTGATTCTAGACCCCTATTCCCTCAAAGAAAACAAGCCCATAATCTATTTCAGTACTCTTACTACATGAATGTTTTTGCTTTCATCTGTTTTTTTAGGATTGTTATATAAAAACGAAAATATATTCTTGAACTATGTTTTTCCCTTTTTTTTTTTCGTTTTGAGAACCAAATATAAATCTGTTTTGTTTTTTATTTTTGTTTCAGGTTTAAAAAACAAAAAAAAAAGCATTTGTATACATGCAATAAAGAACATATTTTTTATGCTTACTTTCGAAAAATCAATTTATTCTGAAACAGAATGGTTTTGATTTATTTTTTAGACTTAGCAAAAAAAAAAAAAAAAAGACCATCATCACCCTTATTTTCCTTAATTGTTTTTATTATTATTTTTGTTGTTGTTTTGGAAATAAAACAGCTCCTTCATGTGGTAGAAAATAATAATTTGAACACTGATGATCTTTTTAAGTTATTTTGCATTAAACACAAAAAGAGAAAAAGTTGTCTCCCCCTTCGTCCATGAATTTAATGAGGTGGAATTGGGAATGGGTTTGGATGAAACAATCATTTTCTTCGTTTTTGTAAGTCACAAATGGTACTGGAATTATTTATAGGTAGCTTCCGAGAGTCGAGGAAGAAGTAAATTTCCAAGGTCATGACATTTTAAGCATTTATTATTTATTATTTAATATTTAACAAGCAATGTATCACCCGGTCCATGGCGTGTTTTGTTTTTTCTAATTTTTAGGAACAGGGTGTTGAGGTCATGAGTTTGGTATTCTCTCTCTTTTCCATTACCAACCCTGACAAAATTCTTTCTTTGATTTTTTTTTTCAAATGTTTCTTCCTGTGGCATTTCTTTTGGGTATTTGACATTATAATAGTAAATATTTTGTTTCTCGTATCAGAAAAAAAAATTAATTTTTATTTTGAAAAACAAAATCAAAGGCCAAAAAACCTTTTAAATTCTGAATGGTTTCACGTGTCACGAGACGGGGAAACATTCTCATTTCTCATCCCAATGTATGAAGTATGAAGTAAAAGACAGAGAGAGACACACACACACATACGACACAGGGCACACCCTTAACCCTTTCCTTAGCATTCTAAAGTTCTAAACACGGAGGATAACATGGTAGTAGCTACGAGCTAGAAGGCGGAAGCCCAGTAGTAGCCCACCCAGTGAGTAGTGAGTCTAGTGACCGACCCACTTCAACTTGCTGGGCCCCACGTGGGTTACGGAGTCTGAAATTATCCGCCCAATAATGACTTGGAGGAGGAACATCATCTGAGTTTGCTCTCTAGGCATCCAAGCCATTGGATTGGCATCCAATGTACACCTCAGAAAATCATCTCCATTCTCCACTCTACTGCTGCTACCTAACTTTTATGGACGACTCAGAATTCTAGGGATAACAGGCCAACCGGCCACAGAGAAGGCGCCTGGCACCCGCCCACCGCCACCGTCCATGATTTGGCCCATTTCATTTCTATATGACTAGATCTGCATGACTGCATCCAACCGCCATCTACTTAGGTGAACACGTGGATTATGCAACAGTGCCACGTCGTTTACACGTGTTAACTTTGAGCGGTAAATTAAGTGGGACCCATCCAATGCTGGGTCACGACTGTCACCTGTCAACGGGTAGATCGATGCGAGTCGAGTTAACTCTGAAAGGTTTGATATATATATATATATGGAGGTTCCCTTGTTTGTTTTGTATTGTAAATTTGTAATTGTTCGCAGAACTAACTTCTCTAAGCTCAATGAACGATAAATTACGGCCGGAGCCATTAGATAATTAGATGCCAGAAGGCCCAAAACCCAGAAGTCCAGAACAACAACAGAGAGGGAGAGGCGGAGAGAGAGGAACCAACTAGGCAACTACCAAGGTTTGATTTTGATTTGATTTTTCATTTTTGATGGGGTTGTGGCCTGGCCTGGTGGGGGTGTTTGGAGTTTGGACTGGAGTGGTACGGGACTTTCTTTTTTGCAGCAACACAGAAAAACACTCTAAAAATTAAAACTCTGCAAGTCATAGAAAAAGAGCTTAAGCGACCGTATTCTCTTTTTCTCTCTACATTTGCCTTGGCTTCTGCTAAGTAGTCTAACGAGCCTGTGGTTTATTATTAGAGCAGGCACAGACAGACAGCACCAGCCCTGAAAAAAATAAAAAGGGGGGGAAACTCCAGAAACCAAACCCACAGAGAGAAAGTGTGTGGAGATGGGTTTGCAGAAGAAGGAACATCAACAACGCCTGACCTGCGCTTTTATTAGCTTTTCTCGTGTGGGTGTGGAAGATGAGAGCTGAACTTTTTCCTCCTCCCTTTCTATCGCTTTTCTCTTCCTTCTGACTTCTATGGCGGACATGTATGAAAAAACCTGCTCTTCCCTTCCTCCACCATCCTCTTCTCCTACTCCTACTCCTCCTTCCCGTCCCGCAGTTGAATCAGACGATATCTCGCTTTTCCTTCGTCATTTCCTCCACTCCTCTTCATCTTCTTCTGCTTGCATGTCTGATAGGTCCAACCAAATGCCCTTCTCATCATCGTCTCTTTCTGCCCCTGCTCCTCCTGCTTTCTTTTCTTCTTCCCCACTAACTACATCTAAAGCTCTCCCGGAGCATCCACACCATCCATACGGGTCAAGTCTTCCATTTGATTCCGCCGACTGCCGAGTCAGGAATGGAACCTCCAACTCCAAGGTCGAGTCCTCCGGCGTTGCAGTCTCCTCCAGTTCCAGTTTCATCTTCTCTTCTTCCGGCCTATGTTTCCCATCCGAGGCGAAAGAAAAAGCAACTATTACGACTTCCGTTGGGACTGCGGACTGTGATGATGTCACGGCAACTGCCAAGCAAAGAAAGTCCCCGTTGGACAATGACCTCGACGACTACGAATGCGAAAGCGAGGTTCTTTTATATCCTTGTTTCCTTCTGTATTTCTTGCAACTTGGGAGAACTTTTTTATTTTTTCCAAAGATTTGTTTTCTTTTTTAAATTATCGAATTCAATGGGTACATACATGCCTTTTGATCGTAGGAGGGTCTTGAAACGTCAGAGGAGCCATCGAAACCTATGCCCCCTCGTTCTACTTCTTCTTCGTCGTCATCTTCAAAGAGAAGCAGAGCGGCCGAAGTTCATAATTTGTCTGAAAAGGTTGGGGTTCATAATATAGCAAGCTCTCATGCTTTTCCTTCTATTATTCCCATTGCGTTATGGATTTGTTTTAACTGTGAAATTTGTTGGGCAGAGGAGGAGGAGTAGGATCAATGAGAAAATGAAAGCATTGCAGAACCTTATTCCAAATTCGAACAAGGTATTCGCTTGTTCTTTTTCTATCTCCTACAATGCTTTCTGGGTTGAAGCCATTGAAAGTCATATCCGATATTCTGATTGTGGCAGACGGATAAGGCTTCGATGTTGGATGAAGCCATTGAATATCTCAAGCAGCTTCAGCTTCAAGTACAAGTGAGTATCTCTCTTTTAGATGTTGCAGCGCTCTCCATTTCTTCCCTCCCTCCCTTCAAACACACAGAAAAAAGAGAAAAGCAAAAAGGTGTTAATGAGCAGTATGTGCCTATGTTCTTGGACAGGGATCCCTGTTTATGCAATTTTGTACAGTGTCTAAAATGATTAGACGCGTTATGGCTACCCACCATATTGCCTCCTCGTTCATCTTTTACCTTTTTCTTTGTGAGTGTGGATAGGGTGGAGGGTATCTTCTGTTCTATGATTCCTTGTGCAATTTGTATGCTTTCTTTTCTGAACAAATTCAAAACTTCCTATTGAAGGTCAAAAGGAAGTTTTCCTGTAAAAATGTTGGAACAGACGTAAAAGGTATTTCTTGTTTCTCATGATTTTCTTTGGTTCTCAAATTATCAAAATTAAAATAGTAATTTATATCTAACATAGTGATTACATGGATAAATCGTTTTAGGAAACTTTGTCATTAATGGCATAAAAATTAATTGTGAATGAAGTTGACAACAATTTCAAAGCTAATGTTAATTATCAAAGACTTGGTATTGTTAAAATGCAATTTAGCATCTTACAGGATGTTCCATCTTTATCCTCTATGGTCATGGATTAAAGGTGGGAACAACCATTTTCCCTCAAGCTTTTATCTAAAAGGTGAAAATGCTGAAGTGATCACAATAAACTCCATTCTCTTCTTCTCCAGACAAGTATTTAAATTGATTGAATCCTGTAGATGCTCATAAAACATAGTCAGGAATGACCCAAGGAAAGCTACAGTGAATTGCTTTGTCTAGGATTAGTGATGGTGAGGAGTAAGGGTTGATGGATTAATTTCCAGAGGCATTAGGCTTCAATTGGAAAATGGATTTCTTACAGTTGAAGGCAGAGCTTTCTATGGAATGGTTAACATTTCATCTTGGTTTCCTCATTGTCCTTTATTCTAGCTTCACTTATGCTTGATAAGGTTTTTCTTAAGAAAAATAATTTTTTTATTTTTTTTTGTGCCATCATATTCTGCAGTCTTCTTTTTATCAAGTGTGAGTAAAGGATGCATTCTATAAGATCTTTTATCAGTAATGAACTTTTGATGTCATAAGCATTGGAAGCTTGACAACATGAAGGAAACTGAAGCAAGTGGGTGTGAAGTGGATAAGAGTCCAATGATCTACTTAGTCCTCTCTGGCATCCTAATAAGGACCCCATGGAGATGAATTCTTTCTGCAACCACTTTAGGATTCATTGAAGAAAGGTTCTATAGGAAGTTGGTTTCATCGAAAAGGGCAGTTGTCTTTTAACTGATGGAGGAATTATTTTAATTAAAAGCACTTTATCCTACTATTACACTTCTGTCCGTTTGCCTTATGTCCATTCTTAAAGTTTTGGTTTGCTTGGTTAGGATTTGGTTCTTTCTAAAAGGTCATGAGCTACTTAATTGGAAGAGATGATAGAATACATCTCCAGAGGATCTATTTTATGGGTTAATTAGGTTTCTATACTTCTACGAAAAAAAGGGTTTCTATAAAGATTTTGGTGTAGCATGGGAAAATCTGCATCCTGAAGTTATTGCCAATGACCAATTTGGCCTATTAGTATTAATAAGCAATCACTTTCTAGCCAGCATTTTGCTGGATTAAGAGATCAGCTAATGGTCTAGCCAATTGTTTGTTTGAGTTCAAATCAGCCCCTACCAGATTGCCCCCCACAACGTCCCACAGCACATCCCCGCCGTGTATTGTGAGCATCTCCCGATGATGGCATCATCATTTCTGGTATCATCATCGGGAGATGTTCCCAATACACGGCTTGAATGTGCTGTGGGACGTTGTGGGGGGAAATCTTGTGGGGGCTGATTTGCTCTCTGTTTGTTTAGGAGTAGTGTTACTAGAGAGTTGTATTGGGGTCTGCACTTTCTGCTTAGTGTAATCTTAGGTTGGACGTATAGGGAGGCTGTAGGAATATAACCTTGGGGTTTGTTTTTTCTTTCTAGTTGCTCCCTCTCCATGTTCTTTTTTCTATGATCTTTTTCTGGTAATAAAACTTTCTGTCATTGTTACTATTAAAAAATCAATCACGTTCTAGCACAACTAGTTTGGAGTTATGAGATATGAATGGCATTGCCTTTTCTCCTGTCATGGGAGCAAAATCAAAATCATCAAAAGTTCTTATGGTCTTGAAGACATTAATGGAGAGATGTCAAATGATCATTTTCCCTCCAATCTTTAACAAGAGCTGTCAAATGATTTCTTGATAACCCATCTTTGATTTTGTTTGGGTATGCTGTCCAGTTTTTCTATATGCCTGTGGACTTCTCATGATTTTATTAGTTGTAGTTTTCATTTGGATTTAATAGATTTTCTAGAATTTTGTTATGAGCTGCATAACAACAATAAATATCAATTTGAATTATCACATTGGAAATCTTGGATTTATGGGGTATTTTAACCTTTTTAATTTGAGGGTTAAAAAGAATTAATTCTTGTAAGCATCTTGCCTCCATTACAATCAGAAATATATGAATTTTTACTTCTTAGTAACTAGTGATCATCTGACCATAGTGATTTTCAGGCTATAGTGCATCCTGGATATTGCCAAATTTTAAATATTCAGAATGGCATATACTTTTGTTTCACTTGGTTATGTGATTTTTGATTCTTCATCCTTGCATGTGTTTTCAATTTGATGGTTAGCGTGATATATTGTCATTCTGTTTGGTCCATGTGAATGAAGTCTTGGCAATAGCAAAGTCGGTATGCTCTTGACTCTTAAGACATCTGATCACACAAGCCAAGTTCCTATAGATTCACAACAAAATACGAGCCTACAAGGATGCCTCGTTCCCTAATGATTGGGAAGATTTCCCCATTCCATCATGGAGCTGCTCACTCATTCTTATCCTATTTCTTAGTATTGGCTTGTGAAGAGAAACTCTACCGTTTGATAATCTTAGTGGTAAATTGGGCCAACTTTCATGTATAGCAGAGAATAAAGCTTCACTCATTTGGAAGCCCTCCTGGTAGGTTCTTAACCAAAGTTTCAATTCATATTCCAAGCTTCTCTTCTAATGCCATAAAGCTTGGGTTTCCTCTCTCTGTTGTCTTCTAAAGATCTGTTCCATCATCTGTAGACTTTCCATAATAAAGTGGGGGCCTTGTTCTTTGTTGTTTGCATCATATGCAATCAGAGTTAGCATCTTAACATGTGTAAAGAAAATAAAATAATCCTCGTCTTTCTATTCAGTTGTCTGCCTTGTTTGTGGGTTATTAGTACATTTTGTAGCGTCTTTAACGAGGCTTCTGTATCCAAATACTTTAATTTCTCAGATATTTCTATGTGAATTAATCAGATTCTGACGAAGTCACGGAAGACACCCTAATTGCATCCACACCCATAAGCAGAAACATGCAAGCTCAGATCTGCTGGTTACTATGACTTTGATCTATTGCTGGTTCCCCAATAAGAATGTTCTTTCAAGCGTGCAAGTAGAAACCATGTTTTGAATTTAGACAACATTATGTACTTACACGCTCAGAGGTGCATTCCTAATGGGAATCCAGCAATGGATCTCACTAATAGGTTAACCAGCAAGATCCCAACATGAAGTATATACCAGAACAATGGGAAGAAGAGGGGGGAAATGGATGACTTTGTCTCTGACTGTACTGTTCATTCTACAGATGTTGTCAATGAGAAATGGATTGAGTCTGCACCCAGTGTACCTGCCTGGAGTATTGCAGCCTATACCACTGCCGCAGGTGCCAATGGACTTCAGTGGGGGAAGTGGATCATTACATATGACAGCGGGAACAAGCACACTGCCTATGAACCAAGAAACCTCAACTCGAATGGCATTTAGTCTTCCCAACCAATGCACTTCCTCTCATCAACCGGTTGTCTTACCCAGTATGACAAATATCAGCAATTCAGAAACTTCATTTGGGATTGGATCATCACATCAGGCTCATCATGGACCATTTCTGTTTTCATCCTCTAAGGTTGGTGAATTTTGACACCTTAGATACTCTTGTGCAGATTCATGGGAATAAGACTTACCATCTTGTTTTGTATGTGTGAAGGAAATCTATGGGGAAAATATATTGCCTCGGCAACCATTCGATATGAATCACTCTGTGAAGAACCTGTCAGGTGGGTCTTCTTACCTGAGAACTTTCAATTTTGATTTCCCAAGAGGTTGGATATGTTATTTTGCCGCCACTATTATGACTGTCAATGGTCCAGGTCAGTCCAACAGACCTGGCCTCATAGGGTCTGGATCTGCATTGAGTTCTGATTATATTAATAGGGTTGGGATTGGTTTTACCTGCCCATGGCAAACATACTCAATGTTTTCTACATGTTTCTCGTAGTTTACCCATTCTAACTTCCTCTAAGTTAATTATATATGAGTTATTTTGAGAAGAGAAAGCAAGAAAATTAGTAGATTTATTGTCAAATTACCAAGACTTGTCAAGTAATATTGGGCAACCCAATTAATAATAGGCTTAGTTCTTGGTCTAATAGTTGCGGACCATCCTGTTGGTATTGAGCTTGGGTCAGGATTGGACTCTGTTTTGTTATCAGGTCTGCTCTTATCTGGTCTGGACCCAACCATGCTGGCATAAAACAATATAGCATCTGGCATTTCGTGTTGAACAGGGGTAGGCCACTTTGATTATTCTACAAGACCAAAATTAGATGATCTTTTCCCTTCCAGAAGGTGATGCTTTACATTATTATATTGCCTTGCATTTTATCTAACCAAAAGTTCAGTTTTGGGAGGAAATAAAAAGAAATCCATGACTACAGGGCCTCTGCATTTTGATGAACGAGCCATAGAGGAAAACTCTCAGGAGGCATGCATGTCACAGGGAGAAAGATCACATGGTGTGCTCCCTAAAGATATAAACAGTAGTCAGTTTCTCGTTCAAAATTTGCATGGGTAAGAGATTATTGTGAAGCAGATGTCAGTTTCCTCATCTATACAGTCAACAATCTTAGTTTCTTGTTTTTTTATGTATTATACCAGCTTGGAGACCAGAAGTATGTCACATGACAACAAAGTAAAGATGCTGAACTTTTGAAGCTGATGACACCGATAGCATCAGTGATGTTCAAATTACCTAGCTGACTCGAGTTGTTGTCAACATAACCCCATCTTCTCCACGTTGCTCATGAATTGTGTCTTCAGTACTCTGGATTCGAACACCTCGAATTGTGGAGCTATGAAGTTCAACGTCACTCTTTGGAGGTGCTTGCAGCAGTTGCTTTGTAGAATAGTTGATGGAGAAATGGTGACGCTTCTTTTTCTAATCTAAAACCTCCATTCTTTTGGTGGGGCGGCAGCCCTGAGCCCTGCCATCTGTTTGCACCAGTTATTATAGAGAAACCATCTTTAATACAACATGTTTCTCCTCGGAAATTGAAATGGGACGTCATAGAAATTGGTTTCCCAGTGAGCCACGAGCGTTGCATAAATACTCCTCTGCTATATAGTATATAATGCCGATAGTTGCATTGGCCTCGTCAATAAAACGACAATCATCCTAAAATTTGATTATTTGAGTCCATTTGCCCCCCCCCACCCCCACCCCCACTCCATCCGTCTTTAATCCGCCATTAATTTCGTTACACCTGCAAATAACCGAGCTGTTTGTCTAATATATGCATTAATGTATTTAAAACAATAAACATCTTTGTCATGGTTTGACACAGGTTTAGTTTTACCTTACGTTAAGTGGTATTATCGGAAATATAATCAATATGATTTTTGAGAGAAGTGATGTTTTTTCTATTGGCCCCTTCTAAAAGCTTATGCATTCCTTAAAAGGGTGGTCAATTTTCTTAGATGCTTAGACCAATATTCCCTTGTGGCTCTAGTTAATAGCTAGTGTGGATATCAGGGTTTTTTATGGGCACATGCATATGTTCATGGGAACAGTGTATGGATTGGCATTGTGCAATGCATTAAGGGGAGGTTTTTCATGCAGATCTGGCTTAAGTATGCTTTTACATTTTGCCAATCTCGTGTGTTACAGGCATTGTGCAATGCATTAAGGGTGTGTTACAGGCATTGTGCAATGCATTGGCATTGTGCAATGCATTAAGGGGAGGTTTTTCATCGAATTATTCCTTATTGCCTACAGTGCATGGGTGTATTACAGGCACAGCGGTTGCTTTACACAATATTGGCACATGTGCCTTGCATCATCAGTGCTACACTTTACATCATGGCCTTTCCCCTTTGTCATGCCTCTCATGTACAGAGTTTCGGTCATACACAATGAGGTTATGGTCCAATACTATTGATCTTGGTGGAACTATTCAATAAGTTGCACATGACCCTTACACATATTATTGCATTCCGCATTCCTTCCGCTGCAGATTTACCCGTGCCATGACAATTTGGGGCTTTCTCGGGCTACAGTCGGCACTCGGCATTAGACGAGGCTTCAGCTTTGGTTGAGCGCCGATTTTAAAGGAAGCTGTAGTTTCATTGGTTGAATGAAAATTATTGAGGTGAATTTGGGTTTTCAGGTGTTTTCATGGGGACAGACAGCACAGAGGCTCGCTTTACAAGGCTAGAAGCCGCTGTGTGGATTCAACGTCCTTAAAAAAGATGCGATAATCATTTATATATTACGTAGATATTTCAATCTGACATTAGAAGAGTCAACGTAAATGCCACGCAAAGGGAAGTTCTATAGGATGGTGGGACCAACCGACCAAGCCACCTTGGATTGGGCGACCAGAAACCGCTATAACTGTAAATTGGGCCGTGCCCCCTTGCAAGTTGCAACCTGATGGTATATACCTCTCATGGTTGATCTGGTCTGTGGTCTGGTCTGGTCTGGTCTGGCCCAAGGCTCAACTTATGGACCAGCTCAGCCAGTAACATGGGCACGAGCTGCCCGTGGGCCATGTCATGTCAGCCCGATTTATACCTCTAGAAACTACGTTTCTCACTGTCATCAATTCAGGGTCACGGAAACACCAGCCCCGGCATCTCCAAGACGCAACATTGTGCACCAGGCCAGAAAGAAGAGATAAACAATTATGAGTTGTTAACCTCTCTGAGGAAAAGCCGAAAGCATCTCACAACAATATCGATAGATAGCATCGAAAGGTGTTGGTATCCTCAGCCTTTAATCAAATGATTGGTGGGGTGTTTGGCTCATTGTAGCGGAGACTCTTGGGATCATCGGATTCAGTCCTCACAAAATTTGTCATCACACCGTCCTTCCAATTCATTGTTCTTTTTAACTCTAATTCTTTGGATTCAGCAGCCAAACAATGTCTACAATAAGGACAAAATTCAAGTTACCAGCTTTGATATTTTTCCTGAACATTCAATTAAGCTGACCTGAACATTCAGTTAAGCTGGATCAGCTGTTTTGAGGCATTCCAAATAAGCTATCTAAACTAAAGAGGCTGAAGCGGACAGCCCAAAAATATGATCGACTGGCATCCCATTTGGGCCAGTCAAGTTTTTCGTCAAATGTAACTTAACTTAAAGGCTGTTGATGTAGAGATCGACCACTTTCAAAAGCCAGAAGCCACTGCACTTCAGCCCTCTCAAACGGGCACTAAGCTGGTTCAGCTACTTTGAGAAGCTATTCAAATAGGTTGAAGTGGACAGCCTTTCAAATGCTTGAGTGACCTTCTCGGAGGGCTGAAGAACAGTGGCTTCTGGCTTTCCTAGGTAGACCCCACATGGATAACCTATAAGCTATGTTTGGTGAAAACCCTAGAGAGCCCAAATCAGTCGTCAGTTGGTAATTTCAAGACCTGTCGGCTTCAGCGTCTTTTAATAGCTTATCCAGAGTTCTTTCCAATTAATTGAATCAACTTAACTGAATCTTAGCACAACACTTGATTGAGTATGAAGCAAAAGAGTAATGGGCCCAAATGACCTCTAGGCTTCAGCCCACCCAAACGAGCACTGTACTTTAAATTTCTAGATGGAGCAAAAGAGTATTGGGAATTTGGGATCCTCTGCATCAAGCATCCTGCCAGCCTTCTCTCAATTCAACCGTTTCATTCCTGTTATATCATCTTCTATTTCAAGCCTTAATCCACCGAATCATCACCATCCAACAACTATTTGATCTAAAGTATTCAAATCCCTCCTGACAACCTAATTCACATTTTCCCACACTAAAAATAGCAAAGGACAAAGTGTGAACCCATAAGACATAGGCCCAAGCCCAAAATTTTGCAGTCTGGGCCGTGCCACAACTAAAGGATGAATTTTGTGGTAGACAGTAATTTTGTTTTTTGTTTTCTTTTTATGAAGCCAGGAAGACGTACGATATTATTGTGTTTCTATTATTTTGTCATTCATTTTAACGTCTTTTCTTTCAAATGTTATATCATATGTGCATATTTCGAAGCACAAAAAGGATTTAATTTCAACTACAATGGGCAGTGCAAATTATAAGTGTGCAATTTCTGATTCAATTTTTCTTGGGGTTTCGCTTTACTTTGCTTGAGATTTTATTCTACTTCATTTGCACTGCAAACAAACAGAACAAAGAAGTACAATTTACAACAAAAATAAATCAGAATTTACGTTCAACTTATTTACACTCCCATACATTGCACCGGTACAAGTGAAATTACACTGAAAACAAACTAGGACATTTTTCCTAACCTAGACTAGATAAAAATGAACTCTACCTGTTGATGCTGATTCTGGCCATCTTTCGTGATACTTGGTGAATTTTGTGGGTGTTTAGCCAATAGAAAACATATGAAAGTCACAAAAGCATACATTCTTTAGGGAGATGAGATCATATATTCTTCCCACTGCCAGTTTTCAAGTTCGTTAAGTGCTTTCCTTCATCTAAAGGCCAATTCCATGGATATTCCTTACTCTTTCCTTGATCACCTTTTTTCTTTTTAAGCCCATTTTTCATGGGAATCAGAACCTTAAGATGAGAATATTGTGCTAAGAATACCTTTTAGAGATGTTTATGCTGTGTGTTCCTATTGATTGGTGGAGCTCCCAAGTGGCTGACATCATTGGACTCAAGGTTCTGGTTCCTTTAAATAAGTTTGTTGATTAAGTTGCCATTAAAGGCCAATTTGAACATATTCTCTAACATTCTTCAACTTTGATGTATGCCTACAGATATTCCCAAATGCCATATGTCAAGGCCCATACTCAATGGATTGATGGTAAAATTTTTATTGCTAAACTTTTCCTCCATCCCCATTTTCCTATCCATGAGGATCAACCCATCCGCAAAAGGGACTCAAAACTTGATAATTGTTTCAGCATTGAGAAATATTTTGTCAACATTTCTTTTGTATGCCATGCCAAGGGAAAATGCAATTCTGCTGTGAATTCAAAACAAGAAGCAGAATTATTCACAAATTAGGAAAGAATTTGGATGGAAGAGAAACCAATGAATGCAACAATTGAGAAGCTTATTTTAAAGTCAATTGTAGGCCTCTTACATGGAGGTAAACATACAGCTACTGTCTTGGACATGGGACTACTTTCTAAAGAAAAATGGTGACAAATGGATAGAAACTGACACAGACTGCTAAAAAAGAGTTTGATATGAAACAAATTGGACTATCCCCAAAAAGAGAAAGGGAAAACTGGAATACTGTGGTTGTGTTTGATAGCATTGCTGTTTCTACCTGAAATGTTTTGGGTTGATCGACACAAATTGGCGCACAACTGTTAGTTGAGGTTGTTTATAGTTTAAATAGGCTTTTGTCTTAAAAATGCATGTGCAGCACTGATCATTGACATTTATAGTTGAAACCACACCAAATCGTAATAAAACGGCTTGGTTTCCATACCAAAACTGTTTGATTTGGTTTAAAAATTTCTCAAACCGTAATTTACTGATTTGGCTTGAGATCTTCTCCAAACCGCACCGAACTGGA